TCCTATGTACGTTCGCTATGCTCTGTCTAAATCCAAATGATGGACTTTACAAACGACTAAGTACACACTAGAAGTAACAGCAAATTTCCACAAGTGTGTGGTCTTCTTAATAATTACCCTTTCTTATGTGTTTCATGGATATAAATATTGAAAATGGAGAGAGAGACCAGACGGGATTTATGAGTTCTTTTCCGTTTTAAATTTTTTAACCCGACCGCATTACACCATTTTTATATATGTCTGGTAGACGTGCGCCTACGCGTAACACTCCCATTTTGACGGGATGCGTCCCCTTTTTAACACCGCGTCAGTTCATTATGGGCAGGAATAAAATGTCCTGCCCAGAGTCAGCACACATCATCTTAAGGAATTTTGTGAGCTCAAGGCTTTCAGTAAGAGTGTAAATGAGGATGACAGCTTGGCGTAATTTTACTTAAGAAAAGCAACCACACCCCCCTCATAACCTTCCCCTGACAGCAGCTTCAGCAAGTAATGTGACATATTGCCAATACAAGCGAACATGTGACATATCCCTCTTGCTTCCGATCAAATTTTGAACATGCTTCTTGTGGGATCTTTTTCACAGATTAAGTTGTGTGATATTGAAACATGAACATCTCCTATGCAGGCGATTGGCTTGCGTTTTATATGTCTCCATCACAAACTGCAGCATCAGAGATCTGTCAAGGGGGGCTTTTATGACATTTTCAGGATCAAAATGGTAGACACTGTAACGCGTCATTTCTGAACGTCTACGTATCGTCTAGTGAGGCGAACGGACCTAACAGTATCAACCTGTCCATATGACTGGAGATGTAGGTCACAAAGTGCACATACGCCTTCTGTCTCCCCGGAACATACCACACCTGCGATCACCATTTTCGGGTAGAGGAAGTATGCGTACATTCATCCACTAGAACGGCCAGACATAGACGCCCACATATCCAACTGTCATCCAATAAACGTGTCAAGCTGAGGCAAACGGACTGAGTCATTTGATAGTTCGACCATCGATTCTGACGAGATCCTTGGTGTGCCCAACAGCATAGGGGCTCAGGGTCGGTGATTTTTGCGTGATTATTTTTCAAAGTTATAGTTGACTTACGACGCATCTACAACACTCTCCCCTCCTTCTCCCGCACCTGGGTCCGGTCTCATGACCACGTCAAGAATACCGAAGGCGAGTCAGAGAGTGCGGGTGGCTGGCGCGGCCAGAGACACCTTCAAGATTGCCACCACGCTGGCTTCGATCCGACTAAGTGGACTTCCTGTAGAGGGGCCACCATAAGAAGGATTCGTTGCAGCCAGACTCTCCGCCAATCGACCACAAGCAATCATTGAGCTGAGTGCGAGACAACCTTTCAAACCGTTATAATCTCAAGCGTAGAATGTGCTGAGACGTCGTACTCACTCCTTTTTTTCCTTTCCCAGGACCCAGCTCGCTGTCCAAGCCTGTCAATTTTCTGGTGCGAAGCATGCAATTAGGCAGTTGTTTGTTGGAGACGCAACCGCCAATTTTATACTTGCGAGAATGCAGCTCCCCACATCCATCACTGAAATTCTCTTGCACAAATAATATCTTGCGAGTGCACGAACCATGGCCCACACCAGTAGGGATGAAATGCGCTGACGACTGCAGGAAGGCATTCTGGTTGTTAGTCGGGATTTGGGAAGATTTGAATAATTCATTCACTGTGTGATTAAATTCCCGGTTGCTGATGGCAGCCACGTAGCGCAGGTGGTCAGAGCTTTCACTGTACTGAAGCCTTCTCCCTGCTGCCCTGGGTTAGAATTTAAAAGAAAACTATCGTAAAACAACTGTGTGCATGTCTTTATGTGAATGTAGCAGTTGACACACAGGGGGTTTCCTCTTCTAGCTAGGCAAAAATAAAATAAACTGAGCCAGGCTATGTATCCTTACTGACGGAGGCTTCATTTCACTTAGTCACTATGCCCAGTCTCTTCATCAGTCAATCGAAAGGCTTAAGCAGGCCAGTAGCGTCTGCGGGGAGAGAGTAAGGCGGTTCCGAGCATTCCGCATCAAAATAAGTTGGTGTTGTTGAAACCATCGTGAGGTGCTAATGGTCTTGGATTCGGGGAGCTAACGGGATAACTAGCTTTCCCGTTTATAATAGAGACCAGGCTCTTTTGGTGTTTTTTGTTCGCAATATTTGGAGTCCTGGGTAAACCCTGACTATTACGGCCACTTTATGAAGTTCTTCTCAGTCATATTCGCTTCAAGACCTCTTCATTGAAGCACCGGTACTGTGGAAGTAAGTACCAGGTTGTATGTATCAGACATGGATGGACTGTTTATTTATTCCAACCATTGAACTCATATCCACCGTTCTGATATATGAACTCATGGTCAACGTTTGAGTACCTCGTTTGCCTCATAACGCTTCATAATCTGGATACAAGATTTTCTTCTGCAACTCCGTCGACTCGGCCAAGGGACCTTGAACGCAAGCCGACTTATAATTACCTTCAGCTACTGAGAATTACTCCTTTTTCGCTTTTCAGACACTGAGCTCAACCTGACTGAATTATCATGGTTATTTTTACACAGAACTTGCTTTGCCTCCTGAAGGTATCGATCCAGTTTCCGAGTTTACCTAAATTATGGAATTATGCGGGTCAAGATATATGTATATTTATCTAGCCTTTTCCCACATTACATTTTGGTTCACTTTTCAGTCTGCTGGTTATTTGCATGCAATCAATGCTCTGCTCTGAGACCTATTTTTAAATCATAGTGAACTGCGACGCACCTTCTTTGAAATTCGCCGCTCAATGGTTCCCTCCGACTACGCCGGCGGAAAAGGTCAATCGGAGAGGAGTTTTACAAAGTTTTCCTCCTCTTCAAATGACAGCAGCCAACAGCAGCATGTTCAAAGCGCGAAGGAACTCTTTGAGCACGTGATATCTGCTTGTGTTTTCCTTCGTTTCGTTTGTCCTGCAATCCTTTCGCCTTCCCTCTTTGGCCTCACCGATCGGTTTCCCGAAGATACCAGGGTGGTTAGAGCCTTCACTCTCGTGAGTCACTCATGCTAAACTTGCTTTTTTTCTTATGTCAAAAGACACTGCTTTCTTGTGAGAAATCCAGTTATGTAAAAGCTTGTCAAGCTCCCAAGCCTAAACTTCATGTGTGCGAACAAGATAAAAGAGCAGTATGTACTCAGTCTGAGGAGATATAACCTGATGACAAAATTACATTTTTCGGAGAAGATAAATTGTGTGTGGGCGGTATGATCAACCCCCATCTCTCTCCCTCCGTCAGCTCCTTTAAGTGACGTCGACGTTAGGGAGAAGTATTTGCTTTGGCTGCCTAATATATGTATTCGTTTGGTTCAGGA